ACTCCTGGATTATGATAAGTGACTGGACGGAATTCCAAATCTTTTGGCAGATAAGGCAGGTCAGGTATGTCTATTTCGACTGTAGATTTGGATGTTTGCTTGTAGTGAATAATTGGCCTTAGTAGAAGTTGTAGTAGAACAGACCTTCTCAACCTTTTTACCCTCGAGGAACCCTTCAAATAATTTTCAGGTCTTTGTGAACCATGCAAAAAATGATTATACGTACAGCTCATTGTAAACTAATGTGATGAACACACTGTAGAAAGTTTTAGGTCAAAGAATTAATAATGTGGCATAGTGATCATATTTGATACCCAGGGTCGGATTTGCACCTCCCCACCCTCCCATTTACTAGAACATTATTTTTGGTAATAATATTGAAATTAAATAAATAACATAAAAGACACACAGACAGTAAAAAATTATGGTGTTCTAATGTTGGTGGTCAGTGTAGAGATGCCCCCTTGGATTGGTGGTCAGTGTAGAGATGCTTCTTTGCATTGGTGGTCAGTGTAGAGGTGCCCCCTTGGATTGGTGGTCAATGTAGAGGTGCTCCCTTGGATTGGTGGTCAATGTAGAGGTGCCCCCCTTGCATTGATGGTCAATGTAGAGGTGCCCCCCTTGCGTTGATGGTCAATGTAGAGGTGCCCCCCTTGCATTGATGGTCAATGTAGAGGTGCCCCCCTTGCATTGATGGTCAATGTAGAGGTGCCCCCCTTGCATTTATGGTCAGTGTAGAGGTGCCCCCCTTGCATTGGTGGTCAATGTAGAAGTGCTCCCTTCCATTAGTTGTTATTGAAGGTAGGGAATGAATTTGCCACTGCTCGAGGAACACCTGGGGTTCCTCAGAACCCTGGTTGAGAAAGGCTGTAGTATAACATCTCAGGCCAAAGGTTTTACAAAAAGTGCAACAATTTGTATTGGTCAGTGACTAAAAATAGGAAAGCCACACTGATTAGGAGGTTGGAACGGAAAGCCACCAGAGACACACTGATTAGGAGGTCTTCTGTGTATGGACTACTTCAAGTTAAGGGGTCATTTGCATTTCTATTGGCTGCAAAGGAAGCAATCTTCACAGTGGGGTTCTGTAAGGTATAACTATTCCCAGCGGTTGTCTTAATTGCCCTAAAGAGGCAATTAAGGAAACTGATTTCCTTAAAGAGACTGCCACTGGGAAGAGGAAAGCAGAGGGGGGCAAAGTGCTGCAGGTATGAAGTGCAGATGATTAGAAATGCCTACACACACACCAGGCTCTCAAACATTTCTGTTCTAGCTGAATCTTAGGCTATTGTGCTTTGACAGTGCTGAAACGTCCGTGCTCCTTCCTGCTTCTTGCACATTCCTGTTGGCCATTGAGGCTGCCCTTCATCATTACGATGGGCCAGTAGGAATGTGTGGCTCGTCTGCAAGTTGTCTTCCATAGTGAACGATGTGTTGCACAAGTGGTACATATTCTCATTTGTGGTAAACCATAGGGCAAATTATTATTATTATTATTATACAGGATTTATATAGTGCCAAAAGTTTGCGCAGCGCTTTACAATATGAGGAAGACATTACAATCACAATACAATTCAAGACAAGATGGTAAGGAGGGCTTACAATCTAAAAGGGAGGGGCAATTATTATGGAATTCAGGAGCCAGTCTGTGCAATGCGGGAGCCGGACAGATTTTTTTGGGAGCCAGCTCCATTGATAACTACAGAATACCCCAACAGTTGAGCGCCAGCTTTAATTTTTAAGGAGCTTTGGGTACCGGCATTTGTCCAGCCCTGCCATAGGGCGGGGGACATATATACATCCATCTAATTGGCATGCTTTGTATAGTGACTTGGTCTTGAAGTCTGCTATTCAAGTCAAGTGAATGGAACGTTGTAATGTTTATTGCAATGCAAATAAATGGCAGCACGTGTGTAAATTGCGTGCATGCTTTGGCAGTCGGGTGAACTAGATTGTTTACAGTGAACTGAAATTGGGTTGTAATGAGTTGCTGTAGTAGGCACATCAGTGCTTTTATTTATGGTGCACGACTCTAACCACATACTTCTCCTGGTGCACCAACTGAGAATGGGTTGAGAAATTTGGGCATGGTAGACTTTTCTTTTGTATGACACAGTTGTCAAGCATTCAGTTTTCTTCAGGATAGGGCCCTAGAATAGCAACTTGTCCCATGAACCTTCTGTCCCCCGGAACATTGCTATAGGCAGGGTGTAGAACGCAAGTCATTTTTCCCTAATGGAATGGGAATGTGCCCTCCCAATATTTCCAGGAATGTTGGCTATGTCCCCTTGCATTGGTGGTCAGTGTAGAGGTGCCCCCTTGCATTGGTGGTCAGTGTAGAGGTGCCCCCTTGCATTGGTGGTCAGTGTAGAGGTGCCCCCTTGCATTGGTGGTCAATGTAGACTATGAATGCATTAGAAGAAGGGTAGGCCACCTTGGCACTCCAGCTGTTGTGGAACTACAAGTCCCATGAGGCATTGCAAGACTAAGGTCTCGTTCACACCAGGGCATTTAATTGCGCGTTTTTTTTCCGCAACATTAAAATCCCGTGTATTCCTATGGGGGCCGTTCACACAAACGCGCTGAATCACGCGTCAAAATCCGCCTGTTTCAAATAGTCCCCGAGCTTCTTTGGTGGCACTTATCAGCTCGTTTTGCTCCATAGACTTCAATGGAAACATGCTCATCAGCACGTTTGTGTGCGCTTTTAGCGCGTTTTTGCAGCTAAGACTGCTTCTCATTGGACAACTGTAAACAAGCTGAAGATGCGCATAGAAACGCCCTAAAAAAGGAGCATAAAGCTCCCTGAAACAGTCGCCCTGGTGTGAATGGGGTCTTACAACCACAGGCATGACTTCAAGAAGCAGATGCATGTTGAGATTTGTAGTTTCACCACAGATGGAGTGCCGAGGTTGCCTACCCCTGCGTTAGAAGTTAAAACTATTTGAGCTATTGGATGAAAGAATCAGCTAGGAAGAGTTTTCTCAGCCAATCGCTGTTTTCCCCAAAGATAAGTCACCCCTCAGGAGCTCCTGTACCCCAAATTGTGCACATTTACCCAGTGCCAATATGAAAGTTATTGTCATACAGTTACTGTCTTTGGTTTGCAAAAATATTTGGGTGCGTGCATCGTGTTTGGTTGGACAGCCGTCAATGGATGTCTGAAGGTGATTTAGCCTATCGGAAATTTGGGACTTTTCTGAAGATTGGGGCACAAAATGGATGCCTGAAGCCATTTTGTTCCATCTGGAGCTTGTTCATGTAAACTTCAAACTAAAATTGGAATGTTTTTTATTTTTTTTCGTTCTGCTGAGCCAAATACCAGATTAACAAAGTCCTCTTATTGTACATAAAATTAGGATAACATTGCTTCACTATCCCATTGCTGCGTGAGGTGTCTTATTGCCGTTCTCTGTCCTCTCGTTAATCACGTCCTGTGACTAATCTCTTCTATCGGGAGGGGAAAAAGATTTTGGTGGGGGCAGGAAGCCGGAGTTCCCTCATTCAACCCTGAGGGGGTCAGCTGCCTTCATTCTCCCCCGTGTACTGTCATCTGGAAATTATTACGGAGGCCTGAGGGCAGACGGGAGGGGATGAAAAGGAGGGGGGTCCTTGGTTCCGGCTTCCATCCTTTCCTGAGAGGGCCCACACACAGAGGCATCTAATAGGTCACATTATGCTGGCCAGTGTACAACGAACACCCACCTTAACCCTTTCAGCGCCATGCGTCTGCAACAAAAGACATATGTTTAGTATCTATTTTCCTCCGATACATACTTTAGCAGTCGGCCTCCTATATCAAAGTGTTTGTATTTATTATTCTAAGATAGGAGAATTGCAGTTGGTTGCCATTGGCAACACCAGCATCACTTGCTGCAGGTATAAACTGCGTTATAAACTAGCTAGCTCCTCAGCAAGAAATCTGGAACCACTTGATAATGTCACTAGCCGAAGCTGAAGTGACCCCAGGGGTGTAGGGGCATCAATTGAGTCTGTTGCTGCATATCCTATGCTTCTACCCCCCACTGCCAAGATCTGCTGGTACCCCTGAAATTCCCAAGGCATGTTTTGGCTCTGCAAGGGTAATCCTTTTTTCCCATCTGGCATGTGATGACGTACAGGCATTGAGCAATGCATAAGATGTGCCCCATACCTGAAAGTACGAGGCATTTGGGGGGTACTCTGGCTTCCTGG